ATGTCTTGCGACACCGAACCCTCCCTCCAGCACTGGCACAGAAGTTCATGAAGCTCAGTTTTAAGTGTTCCACGAGCGCACTTGAGGACTTCAGGCGGAATCCCGTCGTCTCCTGGGGCTTTCCCTGAGAAAAGTGAATCCACTGCTTTCTCAACTTCTTCCACAGTCGGTTCAAGATTAAGTTCTTCCATGATGGGCAGGCACTCGATTGCATCCAAAGCCTCTACGCTGACCAAGTTCTCTCTGGAGTAGAGTTCGGAGTAATGTTCCACCCAGCGATTCATCTGTTGATCACGGTCTTTAATGATCTCTCCAGTGGCTGACTTCAGAGGAGCCGCCCTGTTTTGTGTAGGGCCTGTTGCCTATTTGATCCTTTCGTATATGCTCTTATGTTGTCGATAGTGGGCGCAGTCTGGAAGCTGGAACAGAGTCGAAGCCAGTAATCGTTAGTACAGCACCTTGCAGTTTGTTGAACTCTACTGCGGGCAAGTACAGAGGGCCTGTAGGTTCCTTTCTAAGGGCAGGTTCTTGTAGAATGAGAGAGCTCGTCTCTTTTCCTCTACGAGGGGTAACAGTTCCTCTGCACTGGCCTCGAACCAATCTGCTGACTTGTTCTGCCCCTTACCAAAGGTGGATATGGCAGTGTTGAAAATAGCGCCCCTGAGATGTAACCACCTCTCACTTGCACTATCGCAGGGTGGTACAGGAAGGGCATTTACCAGCGCCGCAGTGAATTCCTCCACCTTGTGAAAGTCACGGGTCTTGTTTACGTTCATGCATGGTCTTCCTTCCTCCTTTGCTCTGTGAATTTTCCGGGGCTGTAACTTTACTCTGCAAACGACGAGAGAGTGGTCAGTGTCGCAATCTGCGCTCTGGAAGCTGCAGGTCAGTTTGGCATTTCTCAGATTGCTACACCCCGTAAGTACCAGGTCGAGTTGGTGGCAATGCTTAGACCTGGGGTGTCTCCAGGAAACCTTATTCTGGGGCTTGGTGTCGAAGAAGGAATTGGTGATGCAGAGATCATGACGACAGCAGAACTCCAGGAGACGCTGCCTACTCTCATTCATCTTCCCAAATTCAAACTGGTCCAGGCAGGAAGGCCAAGAGCTGTGATCAGAACCAACTCTTGCATTAAAATCTCCCAGGAGGAAGACTGGCTCTTGTTAAGGTATCTCTCTGAGAGTTAGGCTGAGGTCATCATAGAACTTGCCCTTCGCTTCGGTAAAGGAGGTCAGTGTTGGTGCATATTTTTTTTTTTTTTAATACATTAGGTACATCTGCATTTGTGCAGCTACCCTAGACTATATGAAGGGGAGTACAGTGTGTCAAAAAGCTAGCTACGTGATGCTAAAAAATCCCCATCACACAGGATGGTTAGTCATACAGAGGCATGTGATCAGTACTCTGCACTGGCAGACTCTGGGTGCATTATAAGGATATAATGAACAAGAGTGAGCAAGGTAGCAACGATACTAAAAGTCCCCATCTCGCAGGATGGTTAGTCATACAGGGCCATATATTCAGTAGCCTCCACTGGCAAATTTTGGGTACACTATAAGGATATCTTCAAGAACACGAGAGTGAATAAAGTAATTGTAAAGCACGAGAGTGAATAAAGTAATTGCAAAGCTCCAGGTTTGCAATTACTTTATTCACTCTCGTGTTCTTGAAAATACACGTTACATCTGTCTATGTGTTGGTGCATAGGTGTTGATGAGGCCGACCATTCCTGCTGCTGTATGAAGCTGAAGTTTGATGATCCTTGCAGACCTCTCCGTGGGCGGTACTATGGACCCAAACAACCTGTTCCTGATGGCAAAGCCAATGCCATGCTCCCTTACCTCTTCTGAAGGTTTGCCCTACCAGAAGAAGGTAAAGTCCTTCTCCTGTATGCTGCCAGTCGTGGGCAGACGTGTCTCCTGCAGGGTGACTATGTCCATCAGGAGCCTGCGTAGTTCATTGTTGATCGCAGCTGTCTTGCGGGCGTCGTTCACTTCCAGTAGATCTTCCGAGAGACCCGGTGTCATGGTCCTTACATTCCATATGCCCAGTTTGAGAGCTGGGTGGCTCTGTGTTTGTTTTCTTTTGCCTGGTGCATGGTTGACGATCCGCTTATTGGATTGTGGCCTAAGCCACATGCACCCAGTGGAGCAGGCGGATCATGGCGGGACAGCACCTTATTGGCTTGGGGCTGCCCAGCTTGAGGCGGGCGGTAGCTGTCCTATGAAATCGGATGATTTCTCCCACTGACGGAAGCAACCCCTGGCGCTTCACTCTATGCTAATTGAGTGGTAGGCTTATCACCGGCAACTGTCGCTTCCCGTGTTGAGCCATTGCCAAGGCGGGGCTGGAGTGTCCTCTCCAGGGTACAGGCCTGGGCAGTAATTATGGAGAACCGGCTGTTGCCCATGCAGCAGATCCAGCCTCTCCACGCCACCGATGTGATCCAAGGGAAGGGCGGCACCGATATGCTTGGCACCAGTGTCGTCACAGGAGTTGCCAGAATGTAGCTGTAAACAGCTGCAAACTGCCTTAGGGACTCCGACTCCGGATTTTTCCTCAGGGTTGACTCCCGAAGCCTTTCTCATGAGTGGGTTTAGCCACAAGACTGCAGAGGTTTGAATTCGGGGTTTTCCTTCCCCTAGATGAGCTTCCATCCCAGGCTAGCGAGTCCCATCTACCTGAAGCAACTGGTTTTAAGGCGCCAGAGGCCCACCTTCGCCCCTTCTCCTGTTGGTAGAAGCAGTTCTGCCGGGCCTAGAGGCTAAGCCACACGTGCAGACCAGGAGCTGGACTTGGTTGTCAGAGGCTGTTTGAGACGCACTCCATCAGGGGCACATTACAGGCTGTGGGAGCTTATCTCTACAACCCATCCCCCCCCCCCCGGCTATAACAACCCTTGGAACTAAGGGTTCCAAGTGGAACTACTACAAGTACTTGACCGAATAGACTATTCTGTAGTTAGGAGAAGAGAGAATGAATGGGTCTCCTGCAGTTTACATAGGTAACACGTTTAAATGGTATAAGTAGATTCAAGGGGGGGATAACACTAGGCTATAATTAAGCAATAGATAAGTTTTATAATTTATTTGGGGATAATATGGGAGAATAGGGGTGAGCACATTGTTCTAATTCCAGGCTTCTCAAACATGGCTATTTCTGCAGTTTTATCTGTAACGTACGATTATGTTACGTTGTTGGGTAGAGTAGATACACAGTGTTTAGTGAGTTTCATATTTATTTAGTAGTCCTGGATACAGCAGTGTCGTAGACGTTGAGATGGGGCTTGGAGCAGAGCAGAGAGCTGAGTGTGGCCGGAGTCGCGGAGTTCTATGTGGGAGAGCGTTGTAGCTCGATGCGGTCCTAGTCTGCTGTCTGTTCTGTGTCGAAGCTGTAGCGTCTTGGAGACGATTAGAAATGCTTACGCCGAGTGCTACATTCTTGACTGGAAATTGTACTGTCGACTGTTCGATTGATTGATTGATGAAGATTAAGCCACCCAAGAGGTGGCACGGGCATGAATAGCCCGTAAGTGGTGGCCCTTTTGAGCCATTACCAGTATCAAGAGCTGATACTGGAGATCTGTGGAGGTGCAACTGCACCTTGCGTGACGGGAGATGTCTCCCGGACCAAGTGGTGACCAAATGGTGGTCGACTGTTCGCAATTCGCTTGGTTATATTCGGTGACTACACCTCAGCTTCCTCCACTAGGACAGGTGGACGGAAGAACACTAGGAGAGGTGGATGGAAGAACTGTTACCTGTAAATAGGCATAGGATTGTAGCTTGTGTAGTTAGTGCTAATTAGTTATGCTATTAAGATAATGAGATAATGGAGCAAGTCTAAGGTTTACTTGCTACATATCTAATAGGGACAGTGGATGTATAGGTTAACATGGACTGGAAGTAAATGGGAGATCCTGTTTGGTCCCTACAAAGGCCTTCTGCAATTTAATTTTTTTATGTTCAATATGCGATCTTAGCTAGAAATTATCTTTTTAAAATAGAAAAAATATGAAAAAGGGTTTAAATATGCTATTAATTTAAGGAAAACGGGCTTAATATGGGAAGATTGAGTTAAATACCCTATCACAGAAAAACGGGCATATTGTGGAAAGATAAAGATGACGTCATTGAACAGTAGGCTTGACGGAAGGCGGCCCCTTAATCCCCTTGTCTTAAATATAAGAAATGAGAATAATTATGAAAATGTGGTTAAATATGCTATTACAGAAAACGGAACTTGTTGAGTGACGATTGGCTGACTGATGACGTCATTGACCATAAGGGTTTAGCTGTGTCTGTGCGGGTCACGGAGCTAATTGTATTTCACCATGACGGGAGGCGGCCTTTTAATCCACATGGGCCAGATTTCAGGGTCTAGAAGGGAACTGTTTAATTCCACCTTTGGAAAAATTATATATGAGGTGAGTTTGATAAATGATACGAAAAATAAAAATACCCCCTGGGCTACAGGCGACCGTTGAAAAGATTTGACCCCCCCCCTGCCGGAACCGACAATGGGGGGGAAAATGGATATCTCCTCCCCCCCCCCTGCTAAAACCAGCCATTGAAAAAAACGAAGAGGCCGGTGTAAGGCATAACTTCCACTACTGGTGCAGGTGTGTGTAGGGAACCATCAGTGTAAGGTACAGTGTGGTGCAGGTGGTGTGGGTAGGGGAACCATCAGTGTAAGGTACAGTGTGGTGCAGGTGGTGCGTGTAGGGAACCATCAGTGTAAGGTACAGTGTGGTGCAGGTGGTGTGTGTAGGGGAACCATCAGTGTAAGGTACAGTGTGGTGCAGGTGGTGTGGGTAGGGGAACCATCAGTGTAAGGTACAGTGTGGTGCAGGTGGTGTGGTGTGGGTAGGGAACCATCAGTGTAAGGTACAGTGTGGTGCAGGTGGTGTGTGTAGGGAACCATCAGTGTAAGGTACAGTGTGGTGCAGGTGCATGTGGTGTGGGTAGGGAACCATCAGTGTAAGGTACAGTGTGGTACAGGTGCGGGTGGTGCGCGTCGGGAAGGTACGGAGGAGGAGCCTGGCAGCAGAAGTGTTGCCGCCCCAAGAGGACCTGGAGCCGGCCAGGGAGGAGGCGGAGTGGCTGGCCTGGAGGAGGGTCCACGACAGAGTGGAGGAGTGGCTGAGGGACAACACCCGGGCCGACCCCGACGAGTCTCACGTCGTGGCCATGTTACTGGAGACAGACAGCAAGAAGGCCGCGCTCCTCTCCAGTTGATACTCAGCCTTCCTGGGTGACACCAACACCGCCCCTCTCTACACCAGCTCATCTGGGTGAGTAGTGTGGTGTGTGTTACTGGACCAGTGTGTGAATGATCACACTGGGCAGGGGGCTGGTGGCATTGTGGACCTCATCTGGCCCACACCAGCGCCTCCTGTCCTCAGGCTATTCTCGTCCAGGCGGCGCCCAAACCCAAAGATGCATTCATCAGTTTTAACGTCCATTCTATTCAGGGTTTTTTTTTCTCACATATAAGTTAATATTTTTTTATTTTAGAATGTGCTGAATAGTTAGGACGTACTTCGATAAAGTTAGGTGGTCAGGTTATCTCGAAAATTATTGGTATGTGTGATAAATGTTCAACCCATTCTCCTAATTACATAGTTCTATTTTTAACTTTTTGCATCATAGTACAAATTTAGACGTACTAAGCAATTTGTAGAACTTTGTACCATTCTCTCTAGAGTGGTATTCAACTGATTTAGAAATGGCAAATGAATTTAATAGTTTCTTTTCATCGGTTGGTGCTAATCTTGCCAGTAAAATCCCACAGACTCAGACACATATTAACACATATCTCTCAGGCAGCTATCCAAACTCTCTTCTCCTTTCACCAATCAGCCCGGCAGATGTTGTGTCCATCATACACTCTCTAAAAACCAAGGCAGGGAACACCAGTGAAATTCCGTCCATTGTGTACAAGAGAGCCTCCCATGCCCTTGCCCCACCCATAGCACTACTGTTCAACAAATCTATAGAGTGTCACACCTTCCCTGATATCCTCAAAAAAAGCAAGAGTAACGCCAGTCCATAAAGGAGGCAATCCGGCGGACATAAACAATTATAGACCAATATCAAATCTACCCATTCTATCAAAAATATTTGAAAAAATTATTTACAAACAGCTCTACTCCTACCTCGTAAAATTCGACATACTCAGCCCCTGCCAGTTTGGCTTCCGGTCCCAAAAGAGTACCAATGATGCAATCATTAGTCTCCTTGACATTATCTACTCAGCCCTTGACAAAAATGAGTTTCCGATTGGACTCTTCATTGACCTAAGAAAAGCCTTTGATACTGTTAATCACAACTACCTCTTATTTAAACTCCAGCATTATGGAATCCGAGGCCTTGCCCTTGACTACATCCGATCCTATCTTAGTGACAGACACCAATATGTAACCATCAATGATACAACTTCTTCCACTCTACCAATTACCGTTGGAGTGCCACAGGGCAGCATCTTAGGACCTCTTCTATTTCTTATATATATAAACGATCTGCCTAATGTCTCTAATATTCTCAAACCTATATTGTTTGCTGACGATACTACCCTTATCTACTCAAACCTCAACCCACATACACTAAATAATGTTGTGAATAATGAATTAAAAAAAGTCCACTTATGGATGTCAACGAACAAACTAACATTAAACATCGAAAAGACTTACTACATCTTATTTGGAAGCAAATCATCAAATGCAATTCAGCTACAGATAGACAACATTAACATCAGTAATAAAAATGATGGCAAGTTTCTTGGCCTATTCCTAGACAAGAGACTCAACTTCAGCACCCACATTCAACACATAACTAAGAAAGTCTCTAAGACAGTTGGTATACTCTCCAAATCAGATATTATGTTCCTAACTCTGCTCTCCTCTCACTATATTATGCACTAATCTACCCCTATCTTAATTATGGTATCTGTGCATGGGGGTCTACCACTGCAAACCACCTTAAGCCCATCATCACACAGCAAAAATCTGCTATCAGAATAATAACTAACTCTGCTTTCAGACAACACTCAGCTCCCTTGTTTAAATCTCTAAACTTGCTAAATATTAACTCCCTCCACACATTCTCTTGTGTCAACTACATTTACAAAACCCTGTTCTTAAATGCAAACCATGCTCTGAAACTCTCCCTGGACAGATGTAATAGGACCCATTATCACCACACCAGAAATAAATATGCGTACTATCCACATGAAGGCTGCATAATGTATTGTTAAAGTTATGTATAATGTTACATGCTTGTATAGCTGATATTAGTTAAGCATTCCTTAGGGTGGACCACCAAGAGGAGAATAAAAATTATACCAAGTTCCTTTAGTTGAAGGACCCCAAGATCCTAACATCCTTGAATTACTTCAAGCTGTGCTTGATACACACCAATCCAACTTACTCATATCAAGAGCAACAGTGGCTCCTTAAAAATAAACGATCTTTGCCTCAGCTCGAATTGACAGCCTTACTCCTAGGATTGAAGCTGGCATCATATATCAACAAAACGCTCTACCGTCATTTCGACATGACGTGTCTGACAATGAAACAATACTCCAATGAGTACGCAACAATAACATTAAAATAACAATAACAATAATATCATTGAAATCAGAGAATTATCAGCCAGGCACACATTACTGTACATACCAACCAAGGAAAACCCACCTGACTATTTATCTCGAAGACTAAGGCTTAAAGAATTTGCCAGAGCCAACGTGTTGTTCAATGGACCCCAGTGGCCAGCTAGTCACCAGTGGCCTGAACGAAAACCACAAGTCATAATGACCAATGCCAAAGCTCCCTCCGAGTTAATGGAATTGCCATTGAATCCAGCAATTGATTGTACTCGGTACTCAAATTTAACTAAACTGATTACAGTCACCCAGAATGTGTTTTTGTTCTTAAATCAAAAAGTGATAAAATACAAGCTGAATCCAGGTGCCCTTAATTAAGGGTTAAACAAGCCCAGAAAGAAACTTACGTGGATGTTTATGAAAATCTCCCCCCAAAGACCATTTAAGATTTATTTGGGTTGATGCTGACAATTACGACAGTTTGTGTTTCGGAGGAACATAAGAATACAGATGTTGACTTGGATGTGAAACGTCCATGGTTTCTCCCGCGGAACCACTGAGTGATCAGATTGACAGTATTACATATACACCAACACTGCACACATCACGCTAGGTACTGGATACTCTCACCTCACTAAGACAGCAATAATGGCTCACACAGGGTCCCCAGACAGTTAAAGTTATACTGTAGTCATGTGTTGTCTGCAGAAGGCATGATGCTTCAGTGTGCCCTTCCCTAGGACCTTCACCACTCCAGTAGAAATAAGTAGTACACCTTCGTCCCTTTGAGACCACAGGTGTGGACTTCACGGGTGCTGTCATGCTCACAGGCACTAAAGACAGAAAACCAATTGAGGCTTACATCTGCCTGTTTACTTGTGCAACCATCCGAGGCGTTCGCCTTAAAGTGATTCCTGATATTATTGCAGAATCCAGGCGTTCAGCAGGCTTGCTTCGTGCAGATCCTCCCCCAAGTTGATGGCTTCGGACAGCAGGTCTAACTTGGTGGCTAGTGAGACATTCCTGAGGAAAATCTGTGATCATACAGCAGTATCACTGAAAATTCATACCCCTTTGAGCACAGTGGCATGTGCCACTGTGTCGCCCACCATTCTATGAGAGAATGGTGGGGGGACAGTGAAATACTGTTTATGTAATACTCTACACCTCCAGAAGGTAGACCTCCAAGAGTTCCAAACCGAAGTCATGGAGATAGAGTCCCGAGTCAATAGCCCAACCTGTTCTCTTTATACCACGTCGCATTTTTACATATACTTTACCTAAGGCTAAAAACCTGACGTACACAAAAACGGTAGCGGCTCACGAAATTGACAATGCCCCATTTACTGCTGATGGGTCCTCTAGTTGGTTAGGTTAGGGTACTTTAACATGCCCGTTTCTTGATGTTGGGAACGTCAATTTCCCTTCCTTCGTCAACGAGAGTGACTTGGTTTAAGAGATATATGCATCTTTCCCCAAGTTATAAGCCAGTCGAATGACATCTTAACTTTTCTGCATGACTACTATTATAGGGCTAACTCCCTTATAACAGTATAAATTAACAACCTGGCGACATTGTCCTAGTGGAGAGCGACGACCCATGGTCAGAGTGACCTTTAGGTTGTGTTTCTGTTTACCCAGACAGCCAGGGAATCTTGAGAATAGTGAAAGTGCAGTGTAAAGGCACCACTTGTCTCCAAATTCTTGACGTCCTCCGAAAGCATATCAGAATGCAGCTCGAGGAGACTCGGAAACACACGAAACAGTCCAAGCGCTGAAAGGCCGGGAGGCCAAACAGCACAAACAAAGCCGACAACAAGGAACATGCGCAAAGAGCCAAAACGTGCCGACAGGCAGGGTAAGAACAGGGGAAAAGGCAGCATGAAAGGGCTCAAGAGAGCCCCCCAATAAACACTAAAACACACTCACAATCTCGAGTCACTCAAACGCCAATTAACAGGAGAAAAAGAAAAGTTCGCTAGGAAGAATCAGAAATCTCACAACACATTCAACAGCGGAAAAGAGGTCCAGAACACAAAGGAGGCCGGGTCCAACTGCAAGGTAGAACCAGGCCACGCAGGAGGTACAGAAAATGCCTCACAAGCCCCAAAAGGGGCACCTGCTAGAAATGAAGCCTCTGTAAGGATGCCCTGGTGTACCCAAAGGCATCGAGAGGCAAACCAACTCTTACTGGGAGGAAGAGGGAATGAAAACTCCACTTCCTATAACCAAAGACCCTCCGCAGACGATGCAAGGAACCACAAAGAGTCAACGGGGACCATGGACCCAACACCGACTCTTCCCCAAGCCCCAGAAATTGCATTTGAGGGCCCCGGGACAGAGCCATTGTCCATGCCCACTGCCCGAGGACGACAGGCGGAGTCTAGGGAAGAGACCTCAAAGCAGTAGGCAGGTAAAAAAAAAGCCCATGCAGTAGCCTCGGCGGGACAAAAAGGCTCAACTGCTTTCATGCCCAAATCTGAAAAGGCAACCCCTAAGCCACATCCTGAGCCAAATATACCCTGCCCTGAGCCCGAAAACCCTAGACGTCACGGGGCGGGAAGCAGGGGGGGGGAGGGAAAGACTGAAAGGAGAGTGAACCACGCTGGAGACACCCCCCCACATTTATTTATTTATTTATTTATTTATTTATTTATGCATATACAAGAATGT